CCGTGGTGTCGCTCACCGAGGCCCGTCCCGCACTCCGGTCGCCCGGCGCCCTCCGGCCCGGAGCTGCCGGCGGGTGCCCCGCGCAGGGGAGGCCGGGCCCGGGGCAGCTCCGGTCAGCTCCCAGAGCGCCCTCAGTTCATTGCTGACCCACGAAGCGAAGGAGGAGCGCAGAGGTTGGGGCCGGACAAGGCGGGTCCGGCGGGCGCTCCAACCCCTGCCTAGCACCAGCACCCGCACTAGGGCAGGGCCAGGCAGCCGAGCGCGGCGGGCACCCGGCGTGTCGGGCACTGGGCGCTCCCGCAGAGGCTCGCGGCGCCTATTTTATAGCACTTTGAAGGAAGGTTCAGGCAGCGCGTCGGGGTCGGGGCTCGCCAGCAAGCCGGGGTGAGAAACGGTTCCCTGGGGGTTGGGTGTCCGTGGGGATGGGTGGCCCCAGGGCTCCCGAGTATCCACACGCCCGCGGTCTGGCTGCTCGGAGCGCTGCCCGCGCAGCTGCCCCCGCTCCAGGCCCGGGATTGCCAAGGCACACACGGGTTCGAGCGTCCCGGGAGGCTCTCAGCTGCGTGCTCATCTCCGGGGAGCGCGTCTGGGGTTGGACGCGGCTCTGGAGCCCCTCGCGTCCCAGGGAGAGATCCCGCGGCCGAGGGAGGCCGGATCTCCACATTAAGGCGCAGACAAAGCCGGACTCAGCCGGACTCAGGAGTGTGGGCGGCCAGAGAACGACCACGGCTTCGGGTGGGGGCGCCGGCGGCGGGCGAGGACCCGGGCTCCGGGGTGCCCGCGGTGGCCAGGGCCGAAGGGGGAGGCAAAACTGAAAGTGCCGCGCCGGGGGGCGGGGGAGGCCGGCGAAGGCCCCAGAACTCGTCCTGCCCCCGACCACCACGGCCAATCAGCGCGCCGCCCTCGCTCCTGACAACTATTTAGCAACCCAGCCCGGCTAGAGTTTCCAAAAAAGTTAGAATAACTTCCTCTCTCGGAGACCTCGGTTTTGCACAAGCCGGCCTTGAAATCAGAGCCTTTCCAGCAAGCCCGAGATCGTGTGCTCGGCGGCTGCGGGCTCGGCCAGCGGCGCGCGCTCGGCGCCCCGGCGCCCCCAGCCCCACGCGCGCCGGGCGGGCGCCATGGAGGAGGGCTCTAGCTCGCCCGTGTCCCCCGTGGACAGCCTGGGCACCAGCGAGGAGGAGCTCGAGCGGCAGCCCAAGCGCTTCGGCCGGAAGCGGCGCTACAGCAAGAAGTCGAGCGAAGATGGCAGCCCGACCCCGGGCAAGCGCGGCAAGAAGGGCAGCCCCAGCGCGCAGTCCTTCGAAGAGCTGCAGAGCCAGCGCATCCTGGCCAACGTGCGCGAGCGCCAGCGCACCCAGTCGCTCAACGAGGCCTTCGCTGCGCTGCGCAAGATCATCCCCACGCTGCCCTCGGACAAGCTCAGCAAGATCCAGACGCTCAAGCTGGCCGCCAGGTACATAGACTTCCTCTACCAGGTCCTGCAGAGCGACGAGATGGACAATAAGATGACCAGCTGCAGCTACGTGGCCCACGAGCGCCTCAGCTACGCCTTCTCCGTGTGGCGCATGGAGGGCGCGTGGTCCATGTCCGCCTCCCACTAGCGCCGCGCCACCCACCTCCGGACCGGCGCGCCTGGGTAGGTGCTGCGCGCGCGACTGGCGCCCTCCGCCGCGGGGGGCGGGCAGCAGGGCCTTAGAGAGGCGGGGGTCTGCGCGTCTGCCCTCGTGGAAGCTCCACAGGCCGCGGCAGCGTGGAGAGAGTGCGCTTTTTTCCTAGCAACAGATGAGGGGTAAAGGGGCTGTCGGATGCTTCCATGTCCCGGGGCGCCCTGAGGACTTTTGCAAGCTCCCACGCAAGGGCGTCTGTCAGTTGGGAACCAGCGAGCCGGTGACTGCCCAGCAGGGTCCGAAGGCACTTCTTGGTCAGACGGTCGCATGTTCCATTCTCGGGGGTGTGTGGGTGTCTGGGGTGACTGTGGGGGGAGTGAGATCAGGAAAACTTTCTGCAGCTGGCTGGGGTCTGAGAGATGGGGGACCCGCTGTCCTATGCATCCCTCGTAGCGGAGGCCGCCCGCAAAGTTGCCCGAGCGGGGTTGTACCTCTTCCCGGGAGCTGCATAGCGCGTTCGTCGTGCGGACACTCGGCTTTCTCCAGTTGCCCGCGCGGGGAGTGCCCGGCCCACGCCTTGGATGCCCGGCCATCGGTGCCCTGGTCCGCCCAGTGGCGTAGAGGTGCGGGCCGACGGCGCCCAAGTTTAACTGGGGAGGGCTGGCGGACACTGCCCTGCGCTGGCGGCTCTGAGCCGCCTCAGGGCCCGGAGATCGCAGCACCCGGTGCGACTGGAAAGGGCTGGGAGCTCCAGGACGCAGAAAAGCGCCGAGGCTGGGGCGCGGGGTCGGGGACAGACACAGCCTATCCGAGCCCACGGCTTCCCGCAGGCAGGTGGAGCTGACATAGGAACTGGGAGCCTCGAGTCCCAGACTTGAACTTGGAGTGCCTGGGAGGGGTTCCGCCCGCGCCGCGTCCCGGCGTCCAGCCTTGCAGGGGTGCGCCAGGGGTCCAGCCTGGGAAACAGGTCTGGGAGACTGGGAGGCGGTGCGCGCCGGGTCCTGTGCCGGGAGAAGGCGCGGGGGACACAGCTGCCAGGAGCACTGGAAGTTCTGGCTTCCTCTGGAAGAGCGATCAGGGCGTCCTGCATCGGCTCCTTTTCACCAGACACCTTCCCAGTCCCTTTAGACAAGCTCCAGCCGCGGAGGCGCCGTCCCTCACCAAGGGCTCTGCGAGCATCCAACACCTCTCCGTCCTCGGTCTGCCCTCCAGGCCAGTAGAAGGGCACGACGAGATTCCTACTGCGGGGGCCGAGTTACATATCCTTCCTACTTAGTATGTTTTAGCTTCTTGCACATCTTGCGATGTTTTTATAAAAGTCTCTACTTCACACAGAAGGAATTTAGATTAATCAAAAGTGCGCGGCCGCCCATTCTCCCAAACATATCTATTTCTTTTTTATGTGGGTCTATAATATCTGCGAATGTTGTTGCTGTGACTACGAAAGACTGGTTTAACACAGGTGGGTTTTCTTTCTTTCTTTCTTTCTTTCTTTCTTTCTTTCTTTCTTTCTTTCTTTCTTTCTTTCTTTCGCTTTTATTTCTATGTCGCTGAAAATTCTTTTGATGAAATAACCTCATAAGATAATGACCAATTTATAATTTTTTTAAAAAAAGTTTTTTTTGGTAGAGAATAACTTGTGGGAATCTTTGCCCGTCTTTGTCAAAGACAGATGGAAAGTGTCCCAATCACATATTTCTCTAGGAAAGAAAGTTTGGATTGGCTGAGTACTAAATGCTACAGTGGGATAATACATTAATTCTGTTTTTTTGCTGCCTAAATTAGGAGCTTCCATTAGTTACTTCCATTTATCCTTTATCCCATTCATGGTTTACAGCACCTCTAAAAGAAGAATGAACAGATGAGGAATATCATCTTTTTAAAACCACACACCTATAGTTTTGCTTAAGGAAACTGTCAAAGGAACTATCGTTAAGACTGCCCTCCAGAAAATTATTAAAAACAAATACCAGTAGATATTACCCTGATGTGAGAATTTAGTGAGAACATTTAAAATTCATTTAAAAATAATTAGGCACCTCAAAACTTAGAGAACCAGTTAGATAGCAATGAAAGATTATATGAAAATAAAATGTAATACTTATAATAAGTAAATGAAGACAGTGTTTAGAGCTTCTTTGGAAAAATATCTTTAAAAATATAATAGATAACAGTTAATTGGGGAGAAGATATTCTATATGAGGCCTACTTACTTTTATTTCTATGTACTTGAACACAACTGCATAGTTCAGACAGATTACTTTCTTTAAATAAGTAGATACTCTCTATAAGAAGAGAAGGGAAATATGAAAATTTTTGATACACTGATGATTCTGGAAACACCTTTTTATATGTTAGGCAAATGTCTTTGTATTCTTTTTGTTTTTAACCCATTAGTCTCTATGAGCTTAAATAAAATATGATTGGTTTGATTTCCTGAAAATGTTGCTAAATGCCATTTGTTATTTATTTGTAACATTCCTAAGAATCATTAGCATTAATTCTATGTATCAGAAAAAAAAAATTCTGGATAAATTGTATTTGATTTTAATGTCTAATGTGAGACAACAAAATGCATAAATTGTCCTTTGATTCAGAGAGAAATATGGGAGGGGTGAGTACAGTTGGTGCTGATATTTATCCTGCCTTTCTTCTTTGGCTTGGTATTTAAAAACACAATTAGACAATAAATCAGGTGTCCCTGGCCAGTGAGTTGAATTCATCTAATGGAAAAATCTTAAAGAGAGTTTAATGTATTTTCATTAAATGCCTGATCCTTTGGAGCAGGGTTCAAGCCACCTGGCTTGGAGGGTGGAAGAAGGTATAACCATTACTTATCAGACATTTATCCTATTCTCTACTGTGTCATTAAAAAGTTTTCTCTAACTTCTGCAAAGCATGCCCAGATTTTCAGTAGGTTATCTTACTCAACTAACTTTTGTTTCTGAGTACTTCTAGTTACTTTGTAGAAAGTGCTTGACCTCTTTACCACCTAATATATGTGAGCTTTTCCCTCTCTCCTGAAAATTTACTTCTTGACGGTTTGTTAACGGTTCTATTTGGGATGCTAGCTGGTCTCAAAGGAAAATCAATTTCCCTGAAGAACAGTAATGCAGAATCCCAGTAGAGCTTTTGCTCGGTTAGAAGAAGAAGTAGAATAAAAAGCTAAGATTCCTGAAATATAAGTAATGTTTTGTTCTACAATACCCATTCATAAGATCTAGCGTAGGGATTTGACCTCTGTTAGGTGGGTATTGTCCCCTTAAATATCAGGTAGTATTCTTTCTCTCTTGCATAAAGGAAGCCTTGCTAGTCATCTGGCCAGGGATGGACTTCAGTAGTGGCTGTTTGAGGCTATTTGAGATAGAGTACTTCATTGAGGTTTTCTGAAACTCCTATTTTCAGACAGGTCTTGAGCTGAAAGGATCGTGTTTTCATTGTCCTTGCTTCACGATATTCTGGGTAGACGGAACAGATGCCTGATTTCTTTTGCCTGGCCAAAAAAAAAAAAAAAAAAAAAAAAAAAAGAAAGAAAGAAAGAAAGAAAGAAAAGAAAAAAAGTAAACTCTTTCTGAGCAGAGTACTGTAGCTCATAACTTTAGTTTAAATCTGGGCTTAAAAAAACAAATATTTTAATAAGCTAATTTTAAAGGCTGAACTTTTATGACAGATTTTAAGCTTAGTATTTATATTAATCTATTCTCACTGGTGTCTTTAAAAACCCTGTGAATGCATGCTGGAATGTCTGTTTATGTTTGTGTCTTTTCCTGGGAAAGGATAAATGTGCTACAAAAAGCAAACCAAATACAAAGCTCTCCACTAGCAAAAAGTTCACAAATGAGGCAATAAAATTCAAAGAAGAGATGCATAAGTTACTGTAGCCAAGAAATGGAAAGCCATAAAGAAGAAACAGAATCTAAACAATACAGATATGAATGTTTTCAAAAGGAAAACCAACATGAAACAGGAAAACAGAAACTGATTAAAAAGATATTCCACATGGTCACCTGAGTCTACAAATGTGATAAAATTGCATAAAATGAACCTACATACATACACACATATATAAATACATGTAAAACTGACAAAATCTGAATAAAGTCTGAGAGCTGTATCAATGATAGTTTCTCAGTTAGAATATCTTACTATAGTTTTGCAAGATGTCATCACTGGGGGAAATGAGTAAAGAGGATAAAGGAATCTCTATAATATTTCTTACAATTTCATGTGACTCTGCAATTTCTCAAAATTAAAATAAAATATATTTCACAATAATTTTAAATCTATACATTTATAAGTGAGCAAATTACACAAGAAATATTACTGTGCTTTATCTCAGAGTAATAAACAAAATGTGACGAGCAAAAATCTGTACTTTTTTTCTGATGCCATTTATGTTGTTATACTTTTCTTGAGAATATGAGAAATCCCTGTATATTTCCAATATATCATTAAGTAGAAGTGACTTCTTACCAGAATTAAGTAAGGAGTAGTATCCCAGAAATATGAAAGGAGAAACACCAATTCATTGAGATTTTCTGAAGATATTTTGGGAAATACCTACCTTAAACCGATACCTCTACTACATTTCCTGTTTAAGGTACTAATTTTATATTAACTTTTATCAAACACACACAATTCTAAAGTCAATGATTTATAAAAATTATTCACTAGGAAGTAAGTATTTGGAGCCATGCACAGTTGAGAGGGAGAGGAAATAGGGAGAGGAGAGAGAAAGTTCTAAACTCAGTCATGGTTATTTTAGATGAATATTTGTTTTAGAAACGTATTTTGTGTTCTTGGAAACATATTTTTTGTTTTTGTTTGGTAGTAAGCATTTGAATGAGATTTAGTTATATTCAACAGTACCTTGATTGATTGCTTATTTTGAAATGTGAATGATAACATTAACGTGATTAACAATGTGATGTAAACTGAGGCAGACTGAGATTTTTTTTTCTTCAGTGATTATTCATGGTTGTCACATCAAAAGAAGACTTGGATCCCAAACTGGAAAAGCCAGCACGTA